ACTGTTGAAGTCAGACCTAGGCTAGTTTCCAGAGCAAAGTTTTGTTCTGTTTTCCTTACTAGTTAATTGTTTAAAAATTGACATGAAATACGAACACTGTACCAGGCACATCTTCAGCAGTGCTCAGAACAAACTCAAACTTCATTCATTCCAGCGGTCCCAGGATTTTATTCTCAGCAAGTCTGGTGAAGCTTGGTAAGGCGAGGGCCACGCACACCCTTTATTTCACAGCGAGAGGCTTTCAGTACACGATTATTTGACAATACTTGAGCTGTCATAAAAGAGGGGAGCTGTGGCTATGAGCTAGTAAATACATGTCATTTGTGCTGTAAGATCATATGCAATTGTGGATATAGTGTGCTTTGTCCTCAAAATGAGCTAGTGTACCGTTCACGTTGCTTGCTGTTTTCTGTCTAAAGACGTATTTCCTCCAGTGGATGCTATGAAGACATAGTTCAGCTGTGCTAAGGCAACAGACATCAAGCAAGGAAAAATAAGTTGATATTTTATGCAGAACTTCTCTGGTGGAACCAGCCCCTTCTTGTTTTGTTTTCGATGCTTTCTTGAAACCAGGGGCGTTTCTACAGCCTGCATGACTGTAGTTTCTGAGGGACTATTAAATAGAGGTACCGAGTGTCTGTAAGAGCACAGGCATGACGTAAGACTGAATGAAACTCGCATCTTCTAAAATCTACCTGGAGTCTTTAGAATATTTTTCTTGTGGCAAGGAAGGGGTGTAATCCAGAACAGTCTCCAGGCATCCATTAAATGTGTTTTGTTTGGACTGTTACATTTCTGACTAATTACTCAACAGGTGAGTGAAGCTCTGAGGACTTGTCCGAATCTTCAGGGCGTGTTGTCGTCTCTTTGGATTTTTCCAAGCAGCAGCCCGCAGGAAAGTTCTGACATGTCTTATGTTTTTATTCAGGGTACAGTTTTTTGGGATATGGGATGTGGCTGCACTGGGAAACAGAAAGATGCTGGGTGGCCCTTGAGCATGGACAGCATCAGCAGCGAGGATGGGACAAAGCGTGAGCACCCAGGAGGTGAGCCCTGCAGGGCTCCAAGGGTGCGTTCTCAATTTCAGTACATGCTGCTGCTGCTCTTACCTCTGCCATGTAGATTATGTGGATGTTCTGTCTTTGTTTGCTACCTACTCACTGTGCCAAATTCTTCATGAGGTGTTACTGCCCTCAATGGCTAATGGCATTGGTGCTCTTCACAGCTGAGTAGGTCAGTTTTGTCTCTTTGCAGCTACAGAAACGGCTGGCACTGTAAAAGAAAATGTATTTGATCTGGAGAAGGATGTTGTAAAAAAGGTGGATAATGAACCAGAAATCTTGACAATGTTCCTGGCTGGATCTTAGAGGAACAGGTTGCAGTCTGAGAGCCCTGCGGCTGTTGTTGTGGAGAGGGGGATGATGAAGTTCTCACCTGAGGCCAATTCAGACCAGCCTGCTGATCTGGCTGAGAACTGGTTGTTTATTCTCTTAGTTATTTTTCAGCTGAATTGGCTGGTCTGTGTCTCAGTGGAGATAAAAGATTACAGGTTAGTAAGAAAAGGGAGGTTTCCCCCACTTGGCAGCAGGGTTATTTTTTGGATCAATCTAAGCAGATCAGGAACTTGCACTTTAAATTCTATGAACTTGAGTTTGAGCACCATATCCTCAAAACTGATGCCTATTGATGGCCAGATTTTGCACTATTTTCCTCATTTGCAGGAATGATATCATAAGATCTGCTGTGGTTTTCAGTTAGGAATCTGTTTTCCATTGTGTCATCTGGCATTTTTTTGTAGATCTGAACACTTTTTACTTCCTCAACTATGGTTTTGTAATGCCTTCATACTGTAAATGTATAAACTGAAGAGTGTAAGAGCCGATGCAGTATCCTCAGCTCACTTCCACAAGCTGCCAGCAGTGCAGTGAACACATGTGATGTGCTGGCTCAAGCTTCCTCTGCAAGCCTTGCATGATTGTCCAGTGTAGCTGCTTAATTTTTCCATTCAAGTTCTTTTTCAGAAATTGCACCTAAAATGGATTTTTATTTTTAGGAGCTAGTAATAGTCTTTGATAACTTCTTGGAGTGGAAGTCTTTAACTTGCAGAATCAGAAATGATCAAATATTAAGATTCTGGGTTTAAAGCTACTGAAGTTCTGGATTTAGAGCTTTTTCTTTACGCACTGCGTTGGTCTCAAAGAGGTAATGACTGCTAAGGTTATTTAATAATACTAACTTTCTAGTAGGTTAAAGGGGTTTGCCATTAATAGAAAGTGCTCATTTGGTGGTAACAACCTGAGGTCGGGTCTAGAAGTGAAAATCTGAAGACTAAAATCTCGTGCAGGCTGCTTGAGATTATTTCCTGGTGGAGTAACATAAATGTATGAATGAATTCAGCAGCATCGGTGTTTGATTGTTGTTGTCACTTTGATTTCTACTGCCAGGTAATTGATAGGAATTTAGTGCCTGTTGCCTTCTTTTCTGTCAACCCATGCATGCGTGGTAGCATGCCACTGCAAGTTCCCAGGCACTAAATTCAGACCTAACTCTCATGAGCCTGATTTATTGAAAATCTAAACCAGAAACTGTCTCTGAATATCATTCTGTTTCTGAATGAATCATAGGCAAGACCCTTCATCGTTCAGAATAAGGCTTCCTAAATAGTGGTGCCTGCATAACTTTCTGCAAAAAATCGCTCCTGGAATGCAGTTTATCACTGAATGTGGAGCTGAGAGGTGACTTTGCTCTCAGTGACTGTAGTATCGTGCAAGCAGCCTTTAGTTGTCAGAGGAACAGGGCTATTTTGGAAGGGCGATTAAATGCTTTGAACACAGTAAAACTTTCCCTTATTTTCTTTGCAAATTGGTCTCTCATTCGCTTGCACATACCACAGTAGTTTCTTAAGCAAATGAGGCAGGAACAAGTGCTACATTCAGGACATAACTCTTGTTTTATGTGCAACCAGTTCAAAGTAAGGTGAGGCCCATAGGAAGAAGTATGAAATAGGACTGTAAGTAAAATGCTGTAGACTTTAGTACTTCCACTAAACATCATTAGGGTTTTTTATATGATATTTTCTGCAGTTCTCTGGACCATTGTTGATACTTGGTCACTCTTCATTGGCAGCAGTTAAATCCATAATCTCCGAATTCATAGTGTAAAAATTAACTATTGTTGGTAGCACCTGTTATTTTCTGTTCATCTGGACATATAAGAGAGCTAATTTGCTAAGGCAGAAGATGAGTTATGCTTAAGTATCTGGACTGTGTAGGTAGCCACCTGCCAGAATGTCTCCATACTAAAAGATGCAGTTCAGCTTTTGATTTGGAAAGGAATGCTTAGCCAAATTTAGCCAAAACCACCCTTAGGTTTTTGGTTTGGTTTTGTTTTTTTATTGGGGCGGTTGAGGGGGGCAGTGGGAGGAAGATAAAAGGAACAAATATTTTCATCTTAGAAGATAGGATCCTTACTCAGTAGGGAGGCTTGCAAGGAATGTAGACTGCACAGTCAGTAGTCCAAGGAAAGTAGATTTGAGCTTCTTATCTGACTCTCAGCCAAGAGAACGTGGCCCATGTCTTAATCTGTTGACAGGACACATTAAAATGACCAGGAAATTTGCTCTTGTCCTTCTGGCAATGCAGTTCTCTGCAATAAGAGAGTCCCAGAAATGTGTCCTACTTGTTGGGAAAGCTGACAAAGAATTAGGAGCTGGAGCTCAGGAGATACTCCTATTTCTATTAGATAATAATGTCACCAAGTTCAGACAGACTTCATGGAGGTGGACAGCCCATGTGAGAGGGCCCATGTGTGCTAACACACAGGTAGTGCTTACATCTTTAAGCAGTAGTTAGTTCTGTATCCTGAAACCTTGAATGGAAACTGAACAGATCCAGAAACATCTTGGTGCAGACCATCTACCATAGCAGTCTTTGTTAAAAATGCTACGTCTCACTGTCCTTGTCACCCTTCATCCTTTTATCCTGTCGTCACATACAGGTCCATTGCCTTGCTTCTGTTTTCATGCTCATTGAATCCTCTGTTAGCTAGTTTAACCTACTAGTTCAGATAGAGCAGCTGGTGGAGGATTCAACTATTGAGTTAGAGTTAGCTCACGAGAGAGCCTGGTGGGCACCAGAGTTGGCATGCAGGACTGACTGGTGTCGCACTGACAGAGTGGAGGAAATGGGACTTTTTCCACATGAGCTTTTCCGCTGTGGTGAGCCTGTGGACCAGTTGAGCTGCTCACACGCCACCTTCTCGACTGCAGTGACTTTCCCCCGCCCAGTGAGGCAGCAGAATTGATTTGGCTTGAGGACAAGGGTGGGCTGTTTCAGCTGTGGAGTGAAGTGCCATAGCTCACCGAGCCCAGTACGGTCTGGCATGTAACCACTCTTGTTCATGATGTACCCATGATGTTGTACTTCATTGAGCTGCCAGCTCCTGTGCACAGCTATGGAGGCTGTAGCATGGTCTTCTCTAATAGGACATTTAGTTTTTGTCTGCTTACTTCTTGGTTTTGTTAATTTGCTTCCTAATCCTGAAGGCAATAGATCTTAATGCTATGCCAGTGTGGTAAATTAGTTGCATGGAGGAGTTGGCTTGAAACTGAAGTACTGTATCCCTATTGAGGGACACGATGGAGGAATTTTAAAGCAAAAAATATTTTCTTTTATAGCAATTTAAGGTATCTAGTATTCCAGCAGTACATACTCTTAGTAATGTTTGTTGTGAGAAATGTACTTGCCTTTTATGCTTAGAATTTGTGTGTCTGAATAAACTAAAATGGGTTTAAAATTAAAGCGTGGTTTGAATTGGATGCTCAAATAACAATGTTGTTTGAAGTACAGATTTAAACTATGGACATACTATGAATGCTGTGTAGACAGGAAACCTCTGAACAGACAAACCATAGGTCAATGGACATAACTTCATACCTTTTGAAATCACAGATTAGGAGAATGTCTTCCCTGATGCGCTCTTGAAATGTCTTGCAGGTGGATTCACCAATGAACTTGAGGAACCCCCATGATTTGGTAATACTAATGAGACAAGAAACAACAGTTAACTACCTCAAAGAACTGGAGGTAAACCATAACATTAAGTACTAACTAATTTCTGAAAATACAAATGTTTTTTCACAAGCTTTTTAGTGATAGACTTAGATGGGGAATAGAAGTCATTATTGGTGTAATCCTGCTTCAATGAAAGGATGAGGAATTCTTCAGATCTGAGTTTTGTGCCTCAAGGTTGCTCAACCAGTTATCAGTGTCCCCAGTTGCATCAATCCTTGTTGTTACCCATAAATCCTAACATTTTTAAGTCATTTAGGTACTGGATTCTGTTACTGACTGCTATATTCCAGAAGAATACTGAGCAGGTCATCTCTTTTTTTTCTCCATTTATTATTGAAAAAAAGTGTGTAAACACCCTTCTGAAAGGGGGTTTAATGAACTTTGAACTGATAACTTAAACTAAAGTTTAAATATTATATGGGCTGGGCAAGCTAACAGCTCACAGCCTTTCTTCTGGCTGTGCTCTCCTTTCTCTTGTGCCAGCTTTGGTTTTGTCATTTTGTTAGCATAAGGAGCTAACTGGGAAGTTAGATGAGCACCAGTGGTAGCTTTAGGTGAATGGGAGAAGTGGAAGGGAGGACATTTAAAAAACAAGCAGGACTGCCCCTTATGTAGTTGTATTCAGCCAGTCTTTCTCATCAAGGTAGACTCATCTTTGTGGTAAGGCATCTTTTAGCTATGGATGGGACAGTAGTTGTAAGCTTCTCAGTACATGGATTGCGGGTTTGGAAATTACTAGTGTACAATTTGTGGCATGCAGATGACTTTCAGCAGAAGTTCCCTACTGTAAGATCTTGTACAAGTTGCTACCATTTGTATCTCTAGTATTGCATAGTAGTGTGTTATAAAATGTGTATGGGTTTAGTTAAAAATGCAAATTTTCTTACTTCATATATAGAAATCCTTACGATACTTAATAGGTTTTCAATTTGCAGATGTAGGTGAGAATTAAATACAGCTTACTGTGCTGGGACAGATCATGAGTTCATTCACTGCTCATAGTAATCAATACTTATGTGCTCTATGAGGTGAAAGGTAGCTCCTAGGACACGTTAGAAGCTGATCTATAGAAGCAGGTCTCAATTCTTGCATAAGCCTGCCATCTCAGTGGTACTTAGCACACTGTATGGTTAAGAGGTTCATTTTGTCTTGCAATCTCTGATATTATTTCTATGAAGTCTTTGGAGGAAGAGGGTCCAAATATGGAAATGTTGATGTATTGTTAACAACTGTTTCTTCTTTTTCTGAATGGCCTATCATGAATTTGGAATGCTAATAGCCCTCTTTTTGGGTACAGCAGGAGAAATAAGGGTATGCTCAAGGCATAGTATGGCTAAAAGTATGCAAGTATTTCTATTCCATCTAAATAAAAAAATGTGCTACAGATGTTATAAAATATAGGGAAGTATTCTCAAAACTCGAAGAGTGTTTTAGATTTTCTTCAAATGGACTTTGTTTTAAGGAAAAAGTTGAACTGTTCAACTCCTAGCGCCTATAGAGCTTGCTTTCATCAGTATACGTTCTTCTGTTTCCTTTTTTTTAATTCCCACAGAAACAGTTAGTTGCTCAAAAGATTCATATAGAGGAAAATGAGGACAGAGACACAGGGCTGGAACAGAGGCATAATAAAGAAGATCCGGACTGCATTAAAGCAAAGGTGCCCTTGGGGGACCTAGATCTGTACGATGGCACATACATCACCTTAGAGAGCAAAGATATCCGGTAATAAGATGCTTTGTATTTTAAGATTTTTACTGAATGAAAAAAAAAAATAACAAAACCTCTAAATGCTGTTAAAAAGAAAAATACTATCACTGACCATTAGATGACAGTTGTTTTATTTTGTGTTAGTGTGGAACAAACCTGAAACAACCTCTGCCACTAGTTACGAAAGGGCATGACACAGAAATGCTGCCTAGCCCAGGCTGTCCATCTTAGCTCTACCCTCAAAGTCCTCCATTCTACTGCCAGGCTCCCGGTCAGTTCTGCCACTGTAACTCTGTGCTGATATGACCAGACATGTGAATTAAACTGAAGTACATCCTGTAGAAGGGTGAATTTGCTTGAGTGTGCTTTGGGTATTTTGAGCTAGACACACTTCTTGTAGTGGGAACTGCTTTGACTTAAATTTGAATGACATTCTGTCGATTACCAAGCTGTAGAACCTTCTGGTCATATTTAATCCCTTGTGTTTAGCAAATAAAGGATGTGTGGACAATCTGCTTAACATTTAACTTTGGTAATCCATCTTCAAGGCTGACTCTCTTGGTTTTGGAGTTTTGTGTTTTTTAATATAATCAGGTGAGTTCTTGAAGTGGGAAAGATTAATTTTCTCTTCGGATACCTTCATGTGAGCTTCTCACTAATACTTGAGATTTGTTTGTTTTTTTCAATTGAAGAGTCTTCTAATCTGCATGCATTGCCATTTGCCTTGCAGATAGATCATTAATCATAGTAGTGATCCACAAGGCTGACACTGATAAAATTTGGAGGCTATCCAAATGTTGATGTTTTCTCTAAAGCAGACAGAAATTTATTTACTTTATCCTATACTGATGACATCTCGATACAACTGAAATCAGAGGAGGCATCAGAAATGGTCTAATGTGCTCAAAACAGGATTGTTTGTAACATTCAAATCAGAACAGTGTGTCTGTCAAATACAGTACTTTCTCTTGTGAAATTTAGCAGTGTTTTAATCTGGAGACTGCTGTGTTATGTTGCTGTGTCCTCAGCCCTGAAGATTATATAGACACAAAATCACCAGTGCCTCCAGACCTGCAGCAGCCAGACTGTACAAAAGTTTTAGATCTTCCATACAGCATTCATGCTTTTCAGCACTTACGGGTAAGCAAGCAAATGCAAGCATGTTGGTTTTTTCCCTATCAGGAAGAGGAGTAGAAAACTGTTACTGGCAGTTCTCAGTCAAGGTTGAAGGGTATTGTAGTCTTTCAAGACTGTTTCAGGCATGTGTTAAACCAGTTGTGCCCTGATTAAAGTACCTGCTTACAGGAGGACAGTTCCATCGGATACACACATCCTGTTTCTCTTTTGTTATTGTTTGCCTTATTTTAGAGAGCATTTTTGGGAAAATGGGGTATTTTGTTATAATGCACGTTTCATTAGTTAAGTGATGACTTTCATTGGAAATGTTTCTAACTTGTGAATTGTTTCAGTTGAAAATTGGAGAGTGCTGAACAGAGTCGTTAAACTGTATGAAGACTCGGGGACAGAAAATTGTTGGTAGCTCCTAAGATAGTTGACTGTCTCTTTGGGATTTGAATGGCAAGCCCTAACCCAGAGGACAAGATAATTGTTCTTTAATAGTACAAGGTTCATCTGCTTTAGAAAGGTTACGGTGGAACTGTGGTGTAGAAATTGTTTTTGTCAACAGTGTTATATAAGCAGATTTTCTAAGCTTTAGTGCCTATATCTTGATATCTATTGCAAGTCTTTAAAATAACTTTTCATCTACAAATAAGGATTTTCTTACAAACAAAACAGGAACTGAAGTTTTAGCTTTGTTCCTGGGTCTGGATGTACTTTTGAAACAAGTACATATGTTGAGGAAGGAAGGAGGAAAGAGAAGAGGAGATGTGGGGACACTTTGGTAGTGTGCATGTAACCTGACAAATATGAGTTAAGTACTTCAGAGGTCATTGTTGAAATCAGTATCTACCAGATATACAGGGCTACCACTATGTCTCTTATAGCGATCACAAGCAGAGGCTGCTTTTGCCTGCTTCTAATGTTATATGTATTATTCACCTGTCAAAGGTGACATTATCCTGTCAAGTCCCAAAGGTCTTGATATGAAAGAGTGATAGGAAAGTAAAGTAACCAAGCTGTAAATTTTCCTGGTAGTCTTGCTCTTCTGTGTATTTCTCAACTTTTATTTAAAGTGTCAGCAAATACCTAGATTCCATTTTTATTTTAGGGTGTCCAAGAAAGAGTTAATCTTTCCGCACCCTTGTTACCTAAAGAAGATCCGATCTTCACATACTTATCACGGAGGCTGGGAAGAAGTATAGAGGAAATAGGTCATCGTATTTATGACGGGCTAATGAAGGTATGAAACGGTAATCTTACTGTGCGCACAAAGTGCACACTGAAAAGGTCCTGCAAGATTAGATATGCCTGGTACATGCAGTCAGATCCAGTACTAGATTTGCACATATATTTTTTTGTTTACATTTCAGTTACAAAAGATGGATCAAAACCATTTTTTGCTAGGCAAGCAGAGGTAGGCAAAGGCATCAGCAAAGTCAGTAAATAGATACTTACTGTCATCTTTAATGACTTACGTATTTGTGTGGTCTGGCAAGCCACATTCATTGCTCTGTCAAGGTAGTAAGAGCTTTTAAACAAAAATGCAGGTACTTAAAGAACGAAAAAGAAACAACAGTACTGAAATGTCTGTTTTTTATTAAATACATTCCTGCAAAATATAGGAACTCTCATTGAACTCCAGCTGAGCTGCTGATGCTTAAACTACTGTCACTTCTCATTTCATCTCACTTTGAATTTTTACCTGTCTGAGAGGCAGAAGTTGCGCTGCTTTAATACATTTATATGCCACTTCAGTCTTCCTGAACTTTCACAACTATTGCCAAATGGCAGCTTTCCAGAGGAAGAAGGTAACTTAGGGCAGGTTTGGTGCTCAACTTTCCATCCCATAGTAATTAAAACCCCGATTAACCTTTTAGTTCATGTCTTAGTAGTTAGTACAGTTTATGTATTTCTCTTTACTGCAGAACTCTTCTTCCTGGGTACTCTATAATATGGCTTCTTTTTACTGGCGAATAAAGAATGAGCCATACCAAGTAGTAGAATGTGCCATGCGTGCCCTTCATTTTTCTTCAAGGTAAAAATTGCTAATAAAACATTTCCTTTTGTATTGCTTTTCTAGTTATTCTAATGAGTAAACAGGTTTTAGTTTCTAAGACTGTATCCTAAGGAATAATCCACGTTACTTGTTCTTAGTCTTTATGTACTATACTAGGCATATATATAATTCAGACACTTTTCTATCGAGTTAGACATTTAATATGTGACTGAATAATGAATGTATCCCTATATACGATTCTTACACAGTCTGACCTTTTAATATCTGCTTTTTCTTTTTGTTTTCTTCTTTTAGGCAAAATAAAGATATTGCACTGGTAAATTTGGCAAATATTCTGCACCGGGCTCACTTCTCTGCAGATGCAGCTATCGTGGTCCATGCAGCTCTGGATTACAGTGACTTCTTTACCAGCTATTACACTTTGGGAAATATATACGCAGTAAATACTATCTTTGTTTTCCAAGGCTTGTAGAAAACAGAACACCAAATGTTATTTAATCTTTCTGGCTTGACTTGTAATGCTCTACTGTTTTCAAAACGTGTCTTGTTTTCCACATGCATTTCACTCTTAATGTTTAAGAATCTGTCAAGGTGTTTTCATCCGAAAGCCTGCCTTTCAGGAAAGGTTTTATCTGCACTTGAAAACAAATCGCAGCAAAATTCTCCTGTAGCCTGTCTTCAGCAGATACAGTGGCATGAGTTTCAGAAACTACAGGCTGCTTATTACCACAAATTAAGATTTGAGTTAATGACTTCTTTAAAAATGGAATATTTTTCATTAAATGTTACCAAACACTAGCTAATGCTCTCTCTTGGTCATTCTTTAGATGCTTGGAGAGTACAACCACTCAGTCCTATGTTATGATCATGCTCTACAGGCTAAACCAGGGTTTGAGCAAGCTGTAAAAAGGAAGCATGCTGTCCTGTGTCAGCAAAAACTTGAGCAAAAATTGGAAGCCCAGCATAGGTAACTAAAGAAGCATTATAGTGGCAATTCATACAATCTCATTGTTATTGCTCTTTACAGCAATTGTTTACCTTTCAAATAAAATAATGATATTCGACTTTCTGTATTTCTTTTGATATGCAATAAAATTATTCATAAGAATACTTTTAAGAAACCCAAAGTTGAAAATGTGCGAAACATTCGAAGTAAATCTTTTCTGCTGTTGAATTCTCAAGATCACTTCAGCGAACATTAAATGAATTGAAGGAATATCAGAAGCAACATGACCATTACCTTAGGCAGCAAGATGTTTTAGACAAGTACAAGCTCATCCAGGAGGAACAAATCTTGAGGAACATCATTCACGAGACACAGATGGCAAAAGAAGCTCAATTAGGTACAACTTCTTAGAGTTCATGCTCATTATAGCAATGAAGAACTGCACGTATTCAGATTGATGTCAGGACATAACTTCTTTATATATTAAAATGGCCTTGGGTGGCTGTTGTGTTTTGCTTATTAAAACAAGGGATTGCGATATATTTTTCAACAGTGGGTTTTTTGAGTCTTTCAAAGAGGGAGTTTCCTCTGTGCTCATTAAATAAATAAAAAGGATTGACAGAATTGGGGGTAGAGGGGTTGACCGTATGCTGTCTTTGTCTCCTCAAAAACTTCACTTACCTAGATAAAAATGTTTTGTGCTCTGCAGGGAACCATCAGATTTGTAGACTGGGCAACCAGCAGCACAGCTTGCACTGCCAGTGGGACCAGCCTGTTCGTTATCACCGCGGAGACATTTTTGAAAATGTGGAATATGTTCAGGTTTGCTTGTGAATTGATACCACTGCTCTATTTGCCTTATTAGCAAAATAGTTCCAGTTTTTTCAGGCTTGACAAACAGGGTACACGTTGAGTGTGGTAATTACAGTGAGAAATAATTTAGTCTGTTTTCATGAGTGTAAAGTATTTAAAGCTAGGTTTTTTTGCTAGTAATACAAGCTGAGATTGACTATGGATTGTAGAAATTTAAAGGATTTATTGTGTAAGACTGTCTTACTTAGAAAACAGAACTATTCAAATTATTTTAATTTAAAAACTTGAATATTACTTTTCCGTGGTATGAATAGATCAAGAGGGTTAAATTTCCTTTTTTTTTTTTCCTGCTACCCAAATTTCAGCTCATCAGCAAGGCTTAGCTGCATAAATGGTGGAAGAAAAAAATAATGTGCAGAAATCCAGCCAGTATTATACTACCTCTTTTCATTATTAAATATTGTTTCTCTGTTGTTTCTAGTTTGGTGAAGACTCTTCAACTTCTAGGATGACATCTGTGAATTTGGATCTTCATGCAAATCAAAGCAACCACAGCCAGTCCTTGCAGTCTTCCCCTGTTGCTCGTTCTGTCGTTTCAGTGTGGAGTGTAGAATCCAACAGAGTGAGTAAAGAGAATAAACTTTGCCCTTTCAAACAGGAGTTGCAAAAGAGTGAATCTTGTCTTTGTTTGTGAAACTTCTTAGCATTTGGGCTACAGTTTTAACGTGTGGCAGCACCGGAGAATGTGACATTCTAAATTTCTCCAACTTGTAAACATCTCTGTAGTTTCTCTGTACCAGTTTCCCATCTGAAACTCTACTACAGCACAGAGGAGGTTATTCTTAGCTACCTCTGCAAACATCTGCTGCACATGCAGCCGTACAGCTGAGTAAAGATAGAAATCTGAACTGCTGTCATTCCAGAAAAGATGGGAAAAGAATAGTCTTAAAGATATCTTATTTTTTTTCTCCAGACTGTTCCTTTTGTTTTTATTAGTTTGTTAATTAGAATATTTAAAATGTTGAGAAAATAATAAAAATTAGTTCTTTTCCCTCTAGGACAAACAGCATATTCTTTGGCCTCAGCGGTCAGAATGCATGAAATCTTTCCCAAAAATTCCTCGTCCAGAAGAGCTGCCAACTTATTTCCTGCCTCCAGAAAATAGGGGATTCAGGTAAGTGTTGATTTTTTTTAAAATATTTGTAAATTTTCACAGTAACATCTTAATGAGCATTTTCTTTCTGGAGAGGATGGATGCAATTAGTAATCAACAGCACAGACCTCTTTTCTCTGGCCATTTCATGGAAGGGGGGTGTTTTCCTTTATTGTCATCTTGTAACAGTCATCCAATTTCATGGTGATTCTTCCCTGTTAGTACAAGGTGAATACATGAAATATCTGCAATATTACTAGAAGAATGAGGACTTAAGCATAAGTCTGAATGTCTTCTAGAGTGTATTAAAAAAAAAAGACCTTAAGAGGAATGAGGTGAGTCTGTTTAATAACTACAATTAACTGTTGTACATTGCATACTTCCTTTTAGCTTTAGTTATGATGACAGAAAATTGTGAAGACCAGAAAGTACTACAAAAGGATTAGGAGTGGAATGCCCTGGCATGTTCCTTTGAAACAGAGGTAGAAAACTAGCTTAATTGTGGAATAATCAATAAAATTTGTTACTACATAGGTTAAAATAGATGTCTATGCTGTAGGAACTAGTGCACATAGATCAATGCAGTTTCGTAATATTCTACTCATTTAACATTATAATAGTGATAGTAAGAAAGCTTTCTCTTCCTACTCGGTATAATTCTAGTATTGATCATGTGTTAAAGCAAAACTTCCCATCCACAAATGTTCTGAAGCTTCCTTTAAAAAAGCAGTGTTTTTCCCAAATAATTTGGCTACCTCTTGATGCTTTTGAAATAAAACTTCAGTTTAAAAAACTTCGTTAACTTTTTCACTGATATGTTTCATCCTTAACTTCATACAATCCTTATTAGCATAATATAAGAACCTTCTGTGTCCTTTTTCTGCGGCATTGTTCATTATTTACAGGTATTCTATGCTTAAAAATGGAAAGTAAAGACCTTGTTTATTAATGACTTTTCAAGGGTAGGGAGCGGTCCTTGAATTCTGCTGGTTTGCAGCTCATGTCTCGTGACAGTCCACAGTATGAGACTTGTCAGTTGATATGTAGCCGATTTTCTTATGCTTATGTATCAGTGAAATGCAGCACTAGTAATTCATCCTTGTATTCCTTATCGCTAGAGTTCAGCCAATCCTGAGTATCCCAAGAGATATTGCTGGGCATGGAGAAACACAAGCACCAGACTGTTCTTCCATTACTGATGCTCGTAACAATGAATCTCTGAACATAGTGGTCAAGGAACTGGACAGTAATCTAGATTTGAAATTCAAGATGCCAGATGATCAAGCAAGACAAGTAAGAGACATGTTCTCATTGTTTCTCCTCTGTTTTAAAGTTCTCATCTTTGTTGCCTTTGAAATCTTACTCGGAACATGACAGGTTCTGATATTTAAAAGATGACTTGATATCACAAGCCAATTAGTACTTCCACAAAAAAGAAGTAAGTGCTTTCTAATGGGGCTGAAGAAAGGGAGAACTTGTCATTCAGCATAAGATTTGTTGTCTGACATGTTTCAAAGGCTGACCAAAAGCACATAGAATAGGAAATTTAATTTAACATTTAAAATTGCTGCTTGCTTTTAAAACTTCTGTCACTTGACTTGACTGATCTTGAAACTTCCAGTAATTGCTGTACTCTACCAAGTTGGTAACTTCAGGCTGAGATTAGTCCTTCATATTGCTTTCTGGATATTAGCTGCTTTAATCATTACATGTTCACATCATTTATTTAGAACAATTGGGTTGTTTTTTTTTCTTTTAGTAAAAGGGAAGACTTAAGGAAGTGAGACTTGAATGATCCATGTAGATACATACTATAAAACTTCTTCGGTTGTTTTAAAAAAATTAAATCTTTCTTGTCCAGGTCTTGCATTCTCGTATCAACAATCAAACTATTACTCAGGCGAAGATAGGAGCGTTTCTAGGTCATGCCATGGAAAAGGTATGTCAGGAACTGTATCATGACATATATTCAGAATTCTACTTGAGGTTTGTTTCTATACTTCTGAAGTCAGTTAGAGATGTGCAAGAAATAAGCTTATTTGCTGCTTGTAACTAAGATGAAAGTAACTTAAAAATCCATGTTTACAAGTAAAACACTAACATATAGAGAAGTATCCATTTACTTTACGTTAGTGTGGGCCAAACAGCCCTGTAGTTACTTGTTCTTGTTGTGACTGCAGGACATGGAGCAGCAGTATATTAGCTAATCCTGGCAGCCATTTGCTTAACTGAGAGAAATAGCTTGGAACTGCTCCTCCATCTTCCAGCCCTTCCTACATGCCTGCCTTTTGCTCTTCCACCTCTCCGTTACCCTGCCTTCCCCTCCACCCACCCCTCCAAAAAAGGAACCAACCTTGATTTGTCAATCTTCTGTCAGGATAATTAGCACTCTGGGGTAAAGAATGCACATTTGTATAACACCCTGTGGTGTGCCACCTCCATCTTGCGTGGGGCCTCCGAGAGTCATCACAAGTCAAATGACAGGAAGCATTGAGATAGAGGTTGACTCTTTTTGACTTGTCAAGCTGATACTTCTCAAATTAACTCTCTTGTACAAGCTGTATCAAGGCAGTGTATATATGTATTGTTTTTAGTCTAAAATCAGTACCGTTTTCTGTGTGCATCTATCTTACCCAGAAGTAGGGAAGTTAACGGTAGGAGTTGATTCCTGCTATGCTGTTCCGAACAGCCCTGTGCATGTCTAATGTCTTACTGTTGCAGAGGATAGGTATTTTATTTTTCACTGTAATATTCTGTTGCCTTCTTGCTAAAAGCCTGAACTTCTTCTGCATTTAGATGCTGATGTGGCAATACTGTTGTGTCATGCCTGTTCGCTAGTGATAAACTCTCTGGAGCAGGAGTGCCACAGTTGGTATTTTGTATTGGGAAAGACGAAGTGCTAATAACTTGCTGAGGATTTAGTTCAAGAGAGGTCATTGAGACCTGTGTATGGAGTGTAATTCAGTGAGGAGTTTGGCGTGAACAACATGCCAGTAATGTTTTGTGTGTGCATTGCGAAGTAGGGGTGACAGATACTCTTACAATTATAGATGATGTAATGTGCTCTGAACAAAGAGGTAATATCTTCCAGTTCATCTTGAACCATAGGTAGAACCCTCCTGTGTGAGGTTGCTTTTAAAATCTGGAAGAAAATCTTTGTACTGATTAACGATTTCAACACAGTATTACTGTAATGCCAGTTGTATTGCGTTAATGCAATACTACTGTAAAGATCCTTATCTGTCTGTCTTCTTTAATCTTTCTTTTTTTTTAATCTTAGCTGCATGTTTCTTACTCATGCATGCCTTTGAGCTTCAGATTTATAGGTTGGATTGGAAGTTAATTTCAGTTGTTGCTTTTATACTATAAACTCTTCACAGAATTGGGTGACATGGAATGCTGAAAATATTAGAGACTAGAATGTAAGTGTTTCTAAACCATTTCAAACTGCTCCCTCTGAAAGTGGGTATTTTACATTGCTCTGTCCACCTGTCAGTATTTTAAAGTTTTGCTATTTCTCCTCTAGGATGAGTGCTTGTTCTTTTGTTGTAGGTGAAAGAGGAGGAAGGAACGTATTTAACACTTCCTCCATTCTTCTACCTGCCCTCACTTGTTGCTTGCTTTTTCAAAATCTTTAAACAGTATCTAATGCGTGTCACTTGTCAACATTCATAAGACAGATAGATAACTACATCTAAGAAAAATGAATTCTGAAACCTTAAATTCACAGGAAATCCTGATGTTGGATATGGAACCTGGAAGCATATTTAACTTCAACTTAAAAGCTGCCTGACTGTAGCATTTCTGCATAGATCTGTATTAGTGTAATTTTAAGACTCTGGAGTGGCTCAGAAATGTTGCTTCCTGAAGCAAGCTAACCATTCCTACTGGTATGTTTTGAGGGATTTTGTGGTCATGATATAAGGCAGTAATGAGTAGAGAGTGAGCAACAGCTGCTACTAAGTTACAGTTGGGGCTGTAAGTCACGTCCATTTCAGTGGGGTAGAGCAGACTGAATAGTCTGCTGGCAGTCACAGCAGAGTGTGATTTGTGTCTGGTTAATGAGGTAGTACACAGGGGTGAGGTTTGTGTGTTTGTTTCTTACCAAAGAGCAGGCAATTCTGTCTTCCCAAGAATTCCTCTTTGTGGGTGTTTTCATCCTTTTCCATGACTTTCCTGTAGCCAGAAGATCCTCTATGGCTTGTGCTTAATGAAGCTGGATTGTACTGGCGTGCAGTTGGAAATAGCACCTTTGCTATCACCTGTTTGCAGAAAGCGTTTAATTTGGCTCCACATGAGTATCAGGACATCCCTCTGGTCAATCTTGCTAACCTCTTGATTCATTATGGTCTTCATTTGGATGCCAGCAGGCTCCTGCTGAAGGCTTTGGCTATCAATGCCTCTGAGGTAAGACAATGTTTTTTGTGTTCATTCAGTAATGAATGTCCTTTCTTTCATTATTTTCTAAATACATGGGTCTTACTTTTGCTTTCTTACCTGTGCATACAGTTCAACTTGCAGCTTGTGATTTGCAGCAGATGTTAATTTTCAGTTAAATTCTTGATTGCACTGGAGGTGATGCTGGTTGCTGAGAATATAAACATCTAGAACAGAAGTTCTTCTAAAGCAAATGACAGATTTTTTGCCTCCTAAAAAAGAGGAGGCTGTGGCGTTATCTGTAGCGGCTCCAAGGAATCTAATCCTGGTGATATGGCAACATTCTTATCTAAAACACAGATCCATAATGATGTCAGCATTGTATCTTGATTTTTAAAACTTTAAAAGTAGCACGTGTATGACCAAGATCTTAGGCTGTATAGACATCTTTCTGTGCCACTTTTTATCTGTGATGTTTCATTTGTCCCTAGATTTCATCTGTATACCTAGAGGAAAAGCTGTGTTCTAGTTGTTTTGATGACTTCCAACTGTCAACTCAAAATAAATTTCTGTATTTCTGAATGTAACATTATAAACATTTTGTAGCTTGTCACCTGTGTCATATAGAAAGTTGCTGTATAAAATGTTTAAACTACTGGATTGGCCAGAACAAAGTGAAAAGGAAGCGCAACGGGGAGCATTGCAGGGGGCACCTTTTCTATAGCAAGTAATTTGGTCTTACATTTGAGATGGTTCAGTAAGAAGTTCAAGTGACTTCTTCCTGTGCTTCTGCCTCTGTAGTTAGATAAACAGAGAGCTTAAACCTGCTGGGTCACCAGTCATCTAGCACATAAAAAAGCTAAAAACAGAATAAGCTTTTTCAATATTGCATTCAGCAACAATTTTGCAGTTGTTGGAAAGGACTCTAACCCATTTAGGTGGCAGGTAAGAGTGCAAAAAGGAGCTATAGAAAACTGTGGTTGAATTATGTGCCTTAAGAAGAGCACTTGAAAACACAGCCTTGGAGAGGAGCAGCCTAGGGATCCTTAGGACCATGCTGTGTGAGTAGGGCTTTTCTTCAAAAATACTGGTGAGCCCTACCTCATTACAGTAATGCCTGCTCATATTTTTTTCAGGCACTCTCAGTCCTGTAATACCTATCAGATTGAAAAATCTGTCAGGACTATTTGTACTTGAATCGTATTTCCTGGAATATAATGGAAAGTAAATCCAAATTAAAATTAATTACAGCTACAGAGAGTGAAGGATGTGCTATATTCTTTATTTTAAAAGCTTTTTTAAAAAATCCTATTGCTCCACTTGCACCTTTTTCTGAATGATATTTAAAAATAAAAACGTTTGAAAAATCTGAAGTTACTGATCAGTCTCCCTATTTTCAGTATGAACGTAAAATTATTTCAGTGGAAAAAATGACTGCTTTGTTTACGATATTATAGTCATTATTGTAGCATTATACTGTTAATTTCAGCAAATTACTTTGTGTAAGTGAAAGTCTTTTCAGTCAACAAACAAAATGTAATGCTTTGCTATGTGCCTGTATTAAAGTGCTAAGTAAATTCTACCCAGGGAAAAAGGTGATTATAACTTGTACTTTTAAAAAAAAATACTTTGGAGTGACTAGCCAAAAACAGTGGACAAAAAGATAAAGTTTTACAAAGAATTGAAAGAAAACATAAATGTATACCCCTAAGCTAGTGTGACATTGGTGTTTTCAGTAGCGTAGTTCTGCCCGAGTAAATCCTGAACACTCTTGACAAATGAAATGCATCTGTCCTGCTAGAACACTGGTAGTATTTTCACTGGCTGGCTGTAAATCATTCTAAAATGTCTTCAAGGATTTCAATTTAGTGCTTTACTACTCTGTGCAGTAAGCATTTTGTTTATGATGAGTTATAAGTAAGTATATAATGCTTCATTTCAGTATGTATTTAACAGCTGTTTTTCATCTTGGGAAGATGAAAACCTGAACACAACCTTATGTCAAAACAGCTTTCATTTTGCACCAGTGCATCAAGCTGTTAGTTCTCTGTTCTAAGAATAGGCAGTCCCTATTTGAGAAGTTTTCTACATTCTTTCCAGTCAAATTTGGGAGGGTGTGGACTGGCAAGGAATTTTTTCTAGTCAGCTTCAGTTTTAAACAGTGAACATACTTATGCTGGGATATGTTGCTTTTCTCTTTGCAGCCTCTGACTTTCTTGAGCCTAGGAAATGCGTATCTGGCTCTGAACAACATCAGTGGAGCCCTGCAGGCCTTCAGACATGCGCTGGATTTGACGACCAAGTGCTTGGAGTGTGAAAGCAGCCTGAAGATGATCCGCTGTTTGCAGTTTTATCCTTTTCTGTACAACGTCACCTCTCCTATGTGCAGTGGTAAGCAACTGCTGAAAGATGGACCACAAGTGAAATAGTGTCTGTTTGCCTTGGGAGTTGCACCTGAAATTCATAATTACTCTACTTTTTTCCCAAGGATCTTCCCCTTCGCTTTGCAGTGCTTCCTCCCTAATAAGGACCAAGGCACTGCTCTTTAATGAAAAAGTTACAGTCCATTAAGAAATGCTTGAGGATGTTGTCTTAAATACCTTAAATATAAGCGCTCGAGGTCTGCCACTGAGTGCAAATTACTTCCACAGTGCGTCAGTAATACCTTAACAGCCTCCCCGATATCTCTCACTGGTGAATGAGGAATGCTGGATCCAGTGTTCTTGGAAGTGCACAGCTACTTAGCAGCCCCTTGTACATCCCTTCAGATTTTACAGTCAGATGAATATATTTTCTTAAAACTGAAGAATTTTGGAGAACAGTTTAGTTTTAATTTGTATTCTTTCAGTGTCTTCAGTAGTTTGGATGTCATTTTCTAGTGTTCAGTCTTTACAGAATAGACTGTATTGTGTCTGCATTATTTTGCTTATATGGGGTCTGTGGTCACTGCTCTTAGCCCTCCAAAACTCTGTAACAAGAATTACTTTGAACGCAATCTCTTCCCCAAAAAGTACTTTAAAATATTTGAGATAGAATGCTTAGTTGTCCTTAGTGGCTACTTCAATTTAAAAAGAAAACCCAACCACCCAATAATAGCTTTTGGAGATGGATTCTTTCATTTCAGTGAATCTCGGTGAATATTTCAAGTATTTTGTCTGTACTTGCATATGCTAATATGCTGCTAATAAGCAATCTTGAACATTTATGAATGTGTTTTGTAATCCCTTCTCGCTCAAATTGTTACTGAAGTATCTTTCCATGTAATCTTTCCTTTGTTTTTAAACTAAAACCTCACATGTGATAAATGCTTTTGATTTTTGGTATTGCTGGGATTTTCTCTGAATTATTTTGGATTTTTATTACCTCTCCAGTGGAAAGACATGGAGAAACCCCCTCTGATGTAGCATCTAGAATTGCACTGTCTAAACATAGACTAGAGGCCATAATATCTCCTTGTACAATACATATGATGCCATTGTAGGTGAAATTCCAGGATACTGCCATTAGAATTATACTGTTTTTTATGACTTCACACATATCCGGTCTGATTTGACAGCACATCAGTTGTGCAGAGAAATAAATGCTGTTTGGCTAAATGTAGAGTACTAAGTGATGTTATGGCCCAGCTGGTAAGTCTCTTACTGACTTCCATAATGTCAACACTGGTACCTTTCAGTGAATCTTTTAATATTGGATTGCCCGTCTCTTAAGAACCTTTACAGATGCCATAAGCAGTAGTGGGATTTGCACATTTCATCACAAGAGACAATTTCACTGTTCTGGAAGAAAAAGACAATGTTTTTCACTTTTTATTGAGGTCACCTTTAAAGATGGCTGTTCAACTCACAGAGTTGCTCTAGTCAAACCTTAACGATCTACACTCTGTTTTGAAGTTAAGCAGAAAGAGTAATTTACCATCTCAGTTCTGTGAATATACTTTTAAAGAGCAGTGGCTGTATTTGAACCCAAAAATGATCTTTTACATCTTTCTCTTCTTTTGTATGCTTTTCTTCCTTAAGCTTGTTATAATACATAAAAATATACTCCTCTGGTTTCGCTGCTTCTTGGCTGCTGTTTGCATTGATTCCTGATCCAGGGATGTTCATTTTGAGGTTAATTATTGCTGCATAACTGTTACTGTTTAGGAAGTTTGTTTTTCTTGAATGTGAGGAGAAACCCATATCAAAAGTGCTTGTGAGAAAATTGTCTTTCCTTTTCTTGATAGCTTGGCCACAGGTTAACAGATTGAGCATGAATATATTCATCTGGTACATTCGGGTTGATTTTCATTGTTAAGGAGTCTGTGAAGCTGCTAAGTCAAGAGAGAGCTGAATATGCCTTAATGTGTTCATTTGCTCATTAAATTTCAGTATTCCAGTATTTAAGTATTTTACCATATTTATGTTTTAGCCTTTTTCTGGGACTCTTCCTGTCTTAATATTTCTTTCCCTCTTCATTTCTATTTATAATATCCTTTAGATTGTCTTTTATCTGAGTGCAAGAAACCTGAAAGTATGAACGTGACAAATAGTGTAAATGTTCTTTGTACATTCTTCTGCAGAGTGTAAAATAAACATACTGGTTAATTCAACCTTGATGATGATCTGTGGTTTAAATCAAAACTCAGAATTTGAAAATGGAAAGGCAGATTTGCCTATGTTGTTTTCATAAGGTTTGGGGAAATATTTTTTTCCCCACTGAAAATTTCAAATTACTAGAGAGGAACCTTGACTGATTCTATTAAAGTGAGGTTGTGTCCAAAACCAGAATTATTTCAAGAATGCATACCCAGAAATCACACTTTGCACTTTAAAGTATCCTGAAATTTTAGGAGTCTTCTGTTCATCCTTCAGTCCAAAGAAAACAATTGAAAAGAGTTTGTAAGTTTAATTTTGACCCTACATACGTAATGCAATAGTATGTACTATTACTGCATAGAACCTAAAAAATGCAAACTGTATTTGGATGCTAATATTTAACATTACCTGTTGCATTTGCTGCATTTGTTAAAATGTTACAATCACATAGACTTACGAGATTCATAAAGCAGCATAATCTGTTCTTGTTTGTCTCCATGACAGACTGGAAGGCATATTTTGATGGCAAGATGCAAACTGAACACTACTTTAATGAACCTTTCTGAATGGGACTTTAGGTATAGAGCTAATGCCGCACATTTGTAAATACATGAATCAAGTGTATGCTTGACAGTCCCACTGTCACTGAATTGTTACTTCAGATTTTCACAGCCTTTCATATCATGTGTTGCCACTTGGGGACAGCTGCCATTGATTTTCATTTGTCCTCCTCTTATGCACTTGATGGCACATCATAACTATTTATATCCATCTCCTTTGAGATAGACACGTTATGCTGAAAAACTTACGCAGAAATTGGAGTGTCAAATGTTGTCTCTGGTTTAATATCTTGTTTTGATAAGCATTCGTTCGGTATTTTCGAAAGTAACAGCAGTAGGGCTGCCTGTGCTTTGGGTTGTAGGCCCATGTGATAGCTGTGTTTTTGCTTCGCCTGTCAAAAGCCTCTGTTCACAAGAGTTCACGAGAACTGAACTAACTAGCGAGACACGGAGTTCCTTGCTCTCCTGCCGTGAGCCATCGGCAGAACCCAGCAAATGGTCAGTAGGAGTTAAACACTAGCATGGGATGGAATATTTCAAGTAGGTGAAATAGGAGTTTTCTCAAGCATGTTGGGACATTTGCTGTTAGCACAGGGCTTTGGAAGCATGATACACTAATGCTGACTTGTAGGATGCTTGCTTATATACTCTTGTCTGTACTACTGCCTGGTCCTTTTGGTTTTGGGGGTTTTTTTCTAACTTACCTCTGTTCTAGATAGAAATTTATGTTTCAAACCCAAGTCACTTCATGCATGTGAGAAGAGGAATTAAAGACCTCAAACTAACACTTTTTTACTTAACTATTTATTTAACTTATTCCTCCTATATTGAAGTTTATAGAACTGTTTTAATTTTTAAAAGAGTTTCTAAATCTGCAGAGGTTTTTGGTGGGATTTTTTCTTATGGAGGGGGTATGTGAAGTGTCCAGAATTTAGTACAACTATATCATGTGTGACATGTATACTATACATGTTATGGTATGACATGGCAAACTGCAGGAGTTCAGTCAGTTGTCAGTGCTGTGGATACTGCAGAGGAGAGTGCCTCCGTTGCTTAGACTAACAGCCCATATACTGCGTTATTCCCAAATAACTGAGAAGATGGTTGAAAGACTTCATTGTTGTGGGGTAGTCCTGTAGTGGTCCTTCCATAGAGGTGCCTTGGCAGTGTTAAGAGCATTGCTACTGAATGATCAGCTGTTGTTTTACTGGCAAGTCAGTTCCTGAAGCGTGTTAAGTAGCAGAAACTTTGTTGCTTGGCAGGTACCTAAGCAGCTATATCTGACACACAAATAACAGGACCCAAGAGACTTGTGTAATGAATATAAGAAGCTTAATGTGAAAACCATGGTCAGCTCTGAGCTGCAGAAATGAGATACTTTGGTTTTGTGCTGGTCGTTAAGCCAGTAGAGAAAGTCAGCATTATTTTTGTCTGGTATTGAAACAGTGCATTGCCAGGATTTGTTTTGCACAACTGCATGGCTTAAAAATTGCAAGTAGCTTTTGTCATGCAATAAGGTCTGCAGAGGAATATCCAACTAAGCCCTAAGAGATTGCTCCTGTGACACTTCATCGGCTTATGTGAACATTCAGATGTTGTCAAGCCTTATTAAAAAGGTTCCAGTATACTAGAAGCATATTCTTAGTGTGATGGTCAGCTGGCCGTTGAAATATGCTGGTTTGATAATTGCTGTTGCATAGGACTTTCCCTTATGTGTGTAAACAGAACTGCTGCTTGGACAAGCAGAAGTCATTTGTACCAAAAATACTTCTCTTTGACTGTGAGCATGTACCTCTGACTGACAGCTCCAATTTGTTCTGAGCTCACACCCTTCACATTCTTTTAGACAAGTTCAAAATTCAAAATTTTAAACTTTATTAATAGGCTGATGGTATTCAAAACATGAAGCACAAATTGTTTTAAGCTTCAAGTGTCTTCAGTCTCACTGTCTTTCATTACTTCACATTTCTACAAAAAGCTCTGTGCCACTCTGTCGGAAGTATAGGCAGTGTGAGTACATTACGAATGTATGTGCATGCCATCAAGATACCTGAATGCTTTTATGCTGTGTGTATGTTAGTGAAAGCAACACGTACTTCCTTGCTTGATGACTTAGTTCTGCGATGTGTGCAGCAAGTTTAATGATCTCCTTTAGGTATGGTTTTAGTGCCCTCTTGTGGTACAAATACCCTATACCATATGAAGTCAAAAGTCTTGTTTTACTTTGTCTACTTCCTCTTAAAATAAAACATGG